TTTTGTATAGGTATTAATGGGTGATATAAAGATCCCTTGCAGTGCCTTCAAGGAAGCTGTAGAGGGACTTTTCATCGGGAATTAGAGACAAGACAAGGGGGAGTGGCTTCCCACTACCAGAGAGCAGGATTAGATGGGATATTGGGGAAGAAATTCTGTGGGATATTGGGAAGGTGGTGAGGCCCAGGTTGGGCAGAGAAGCTGTGGCTGCCCCTGGATCCCTGGGAGTGTCCAAGGCCAGGTTGGAACAACCTGGTCTAGTGGAAGGCGTCTCTGCCCATGGCTAGGGGTTGGAATTAGATGAGCTTTAAGATCCCTTTCAATCCAAACCATTCTCTGAATTAAATCCAGTGTTTCAGTAATGATTTCATTGTCAGGACAGAAGCACCCTGCTGGTTTCAGGTGGCACAACCCCTCACACAGACCCTCCAAGAAGACCCACAGAGCTGCTGATACACCCCCAGACACTGGAGGGTGGTCAGACCTCAAGCAAGCATTCAGAGTCCAAAATAATCTCCCTTCATGGAGGCTTTTTATGTGTCTTACCCTAAAGAACCACCTGCATCTCCCACCTGCCTGGTTCCAAGTGGTCCCTGTTCCCAGCAGCCCTGTCCCCCAGCACCTTCCCACCTCCTCCTGCAATATAGGGCTCCTTGAACCTTTTGGGAGAGGCTTCCCAACTTTCAGGCCTTCCAGCCCACAGTCCAAGGCCCTGCAGGGCAGGACCTGGGACCCCCAGCTCTGAGCACTGAGGTTATTCCCTGCAAAGAGCCAGATCCAAAAAGAGTTCCTGCCCAAGAGGGGATGGGACAAACCCACACAGATGCAGGTGAGGAGATGGGGGATTTCTTTAGCAGCAGAAAACTCCATCAAGGAAGGTTTTCACAGATATTAAACCTCACCAGGCATCAAACCTCAGAAAAATCTCATTCCCAGTGTCGTGAGCAGCAGAGGGGTTTTTGTTAATTCTAAATTTCACATCAGAGAGGGAAGATGAAACCAAGCAGCAGGACTGGCTGGAGAGGAGGGTTCTATAAGCTTGACAGGATTAAATTAACATGGAATTAATGAAACAGCTCAGGGATGGATGAACAGGACTCCAGGAGGGCACACTGTTGGATGAAGTGCTTAACCCAGGATTTGTCCTCCCACACTCCCAGGAATTTATCCACTTTTAAAGACACAGCAGAAAACCCAGAGCAGACACGAAACTTTTAATGATGGTAGATACAGGTGGGCAAAATTTGAGATACAGGGTTGAGGTAGGGACTGCAGGAAGGGAGCACAAAGGGACACTGGGCATTTCCAGGGCACACAGGGAATGCCACTGTGCTTCCAAGTGGCTTTCCTGCATCAACACGCTCTGCTTTCTAGAAGGGCAAGACTTTATGTGTCTGTGCCTCCTGGAATCTGATGGGGAAGTGACAATAAAACCCCACAAATAATTAGAAGGACAATCCAGAAGGGGCTGAAGGCCCAGACCAAGGTTTAGACCCAGAATCTGCGAACAGGAGCATGGCATGAACTCAGGGCTGTGTCTTGGCTGTGCTGTAACCAGGTTTGTGTGAGCTGGTGACCCCAGCCAAGCACCTAAAATTCCCATCTCCTCCAAGGCCAGCTCCCCCTCCTGGTGATTAATGGTCTTGGTGGATAAAACACTGGGACAGGCTTTGGTCCATGTCTTAACATTCAAAATTCACAGAGAGACAGTCCAAGGACTGTGGGAGAGTTTGGACAACCCACTGGTGAGCAGGGGATGGAGAGTCAGGGCTCTGGGGTGACACCAACCACCTCCAGCCCTGGGAATGGCTCTTTGGGGACTTGCTCAGATGCTCCTGTGGGGCTAAGGGGACAGATATGGGGACACTCAACTCTAACCCTGTTGATGAGACCTTCTGGGGTGGCCAGAGACCTTGGTATCTCCCTGGATCACTCCTGTGCAGGTGAGTTTTAAGGCTCCATGTCCATTCCCTTGGAAAAGCCACCTGTGCTCCCCCATCCCCAGGAGCTGAGGAGTCCCTGCTCCTGCCAGCGGGTCCCCTGGAGGGCTCAACGGCAGTAACTGCCCCCCAATCCCCATCGAGGCACCAGGAGTATTTATAAGGCACCCAGAGGTCTTCTGAAAGCTTCCCAGGACTCAAACCAGGTCACCAACCACACTGGAGACACCCAGGACGTGGCTCAGCAGGAAGCAAAGCAGGAAGGCAAAGGTGGAGGCGACGGGAGCTCAGACGTCATAGAAATCCAGGTGGGCTCCGGATTGGAAGGTGTCCTCCTCCAGGAGCTTCACCAGCTTCTGGGCTGACACAGTGCAGTCTATGAGCTTCCTGCCCTCCTGCAGGCTCTGGAAGTACTGACGCATCTCGAGGTCTCCAGTCTCGGTCCGGGCCAGGAGCTGCATGTCCGTGTCCAGAGGACCTGGGGGAAAAGCACCAAAACAGAGATCACTCAAGGAGAAAGGAAAAATCCGGGGCTAAATTTTCCCTCTGCTCCCGGCTTGGCTGCAAGAATCTTTTACCCACACAAACA